GACAAGAGAGAAATTTTCCCCATTGAAGTCTATTCAAGTTCAACGAATTGAAATGATGAAATTCTAGTTCTGACTTTATGTACAAATTCCTGTGCAAAAATATTTCTCATTATTTTTTACATCTGTCAATTCTTGGTCTGTTTTTCTTCATAAAAATGTTTACACTTTCAAAATATAGAATTTTAATGAGAAGAATAGCCCACACATTTATCGAAAAAATACGGGGGTAGGTAATTTGTGAAAATTGTCCAAAAAATCCATTATATGCATTTTGTTACTCTGAGATAGGAAGGGGACCCACCAATAAATGGTGTATAATAAAGACGAGTTATACTGTCATTGTTATTCTTATAATTCTATAGACTTATAGATGCTGGTGTGGGGTCGAGTAGAACCAAAGCATTATAACAGGAAGCTCATAAGCAATCCCCTTCCCATGCATAGTCATAACAAATTGAAAGTGGGTGAATTGGAATGGGAATGCCACAAAATCTGGCCAGCCTCAGTCTTTCGCCCCACACGATTAGAAACGACAATTACTGGCTCCCATTCATTATTCTCATTAATCTTTTCTCTAAGTAAAGGAGAGTAAGGCATGGTGTCTGTTTTTCAGACATAGACTACATTCTCATGTTGATAATATTTTACTGGATTACAAAATGTCTTATTGTTTTCAGATATCTCAAGTTAGTCGGATTTTAACCTGGCAATAGTATACCCTATGTTTATTATTTTGAATATGACCGAAATCAAAATGTTCCTCATAGAAAGTTTCCTTGACCATATCCTCATAATGGTCATTGAGACATGTCCGACAATGTGTTTATAGGCCACATTTCTGTAATGGAAGTGGCATTAACAGCTTTTTCTTAAGTAAAGACTCATAGAATACACTCTCATGTGGTCGCCCAGCTTTACTGGAGCTTTTAACACACTCACATGTAGCATGTTTGGGTTCAACTAAAATTTCCATAAGAATTGTCAAATATATTTATCTTGAGGGTTTTTAATCAACAGGGTCATGAGAAAGAACATAAATTTTATACAAAGTTTTTACCATCATCGCAAGAGAAAGTAATTGCATTTATCAAAAAGTTTTGTGAAACGAACAGTATGGCTTGACAAATGTAGAGGATAATGAGATATATTTTTACATCCGAATTTCTATATAAATCCAAACTATTCTTTGTATTTCATCATTCATTTTGTTGAACTTGAATACACGACGATGGGAAAAATTGTACTCTTGTTAATGTTTGCAGCCTGCTTGGCACTGGTACTTGCACAAGACGAAGGCGACAATGATTCGCGTCCACAAAGACGAGGACGACCTGGTCGAGGTCCACGACCTGGTGGTGACGGACCTGGTGGTGACGGACCTGACGGACCTGGTGGTGACGGACCTGGTGGTGACCGACCGGATGGTGACAGACCGGATGGTGACAGACCTGGTGGTGACAGACCTGATGGTGACCGACCGGGTGGTGACAGACCGGATGGTGACCGACCGGATGGTGATAGACCTGGTGGCGACAGACCTGATGGTCAGCGACCTGATGGAGATGGAGGAAACTAATGAATAACATCAATAACAATGTAAGTTCCAAAATATATAATATAAAATACGGGGGCTCACATACGACATATTTCACTTTTTATTTTAAATTAAAAACTTTAATTTTCACCTGCGTCAAAATAACCAAGGAAATTAAAGTGAAAATCAGGTGAAAATTCTTGTATTTTTAAATTGAATACTTTAATTTTCACCTTGGTACGGTGGCTCACAAACGACATATTATTTCACTTTTTGTTTTCAATTAAAAACTTTAATTTCTAATTAAGCTTTGAACTCAAAATTACAGAAATTATCACTCAGTTTTTCACCTTCGTGAATAGCCAATTTAATAATTGTATCAATAAACACTATTGATACTGTTTTATATCTTACGCACACAATCTCGAAGATCTGTTGACTGAAAATTGTGTCTTCATGTTGGTTTTACAACTTGTAATTTGAAACCAGGTTTCACCTTGAGAGAGGAACCGGTATGAAAACATTCAGATAATTTCTTTGAATGGCATTTTAATGAATGAATTAGTTGTTTTCCCCAGAACTACTTAGTGATGCAAAAACTTACAGAAGACTCCGCAAAAACCCAACGAGCATATACAAAGACAGGTTGGACAAGAAGTTAAACGAACTTGAATCCAGTAACCAAATTATCAATCAACTTATATTTAAACTGAGATCAAGCCGTCACCCATGTTCAACATATGCCAGAGCAACAATTAAAATCCACAAAAACCCCATCAAGGCTCGGCCACTCATATGCTCTCGGGATTCTGTCTTCCATAACATCGCCCAACATCTTAGCAGAATCTTGGCACCTTTGGGGAAACTCATTCATTAAAGACTCAGAAGAATTTGTCACCAAATTGAAAGAACTGCAGATCACAGGGAAGATGTACTCATATGATGTTGTCGACTTATTCACCAATGTCCCATGTAAAGATGTGTTGAGTATCATAAGGTATCTAAATTAAAGACCCCACTAGATACTACACTGACTACAGACAGCATCGTCGATCTCATTCAGATGTGTATGTCCTCTACCTACTTCACATGGGGAGATGAGATCTGTATGAACAAATCCACGGTCTACCTATGGGAAGCCCCTTGTCACCATTGATTACTGAAATTTATATGACAGCCTTTGAGGAAAAGACCATGGAAACCTCTCCGATCTCACCAATCTGCTGGTTCTGGAAAGTTGATGACACCTTTGTCATGCATATTAATGCTCAGGATAAGAGGATGAATTTCACCATGGAAGCAGAAGAAGATGACTCTATACCCTTTCTGGATGTGAGAATTAAGCGGTTAGGAGGTCAATTGAAGACATGCGTGTATAGGAAACCTACACATACAGATCAGTATGTGAACTACCATTCCAACACAGCCATCACAGCGCTGGTCAGAAGAGCAAAAAGGATTTGTGACCCAGAATACTTTCAACAAGAATTACAACACATCAAGAAAGTATTGTGCTTGCACAACAACTACCCCCCAGCCTTTGTACATCAAGCTTTTCGATCCGTATTAATGGCAAAACCAACCAACCAACAGCCTAATCCCAACAGACCATCAACCCGCTTAGCTATCCCATTCATCGGAAAGGCATCATACAAAATCAAGAAGATCCTGAAAAAGTCAGTCAGCATTGAAACAGTGTTCTCTGGCAACTCAACGCTTAAAGATTTGCTCAGAGCCAGTGGTAAATTGAATCCCTCCAACAACCAAAAACCTAAAGAATGTGTCTACCAAGTTGAGTGCTCCTGTGGAAGTTCTTATATAGGGGAAACAAAGAGATCCCTTGATGTTCGACTCAAAGACCATCAAGACAAGCCCGGCAATGAAGGAACATCTGCTGTGGCTGAACATCTTGCTATGGGAAGGAAAACAGGACATAAAGTCAACTTTAACAACACCAACATACTGACAATCAATAAGCACGTAGATAAAACCAGGAGGCTTCATGAAGCTATCCACATCAACTTGTAATTATTCATATTCATAAATGTATTTAATAAAACATTTCCAACTTTAAGCATAGTTAGTTATATGAACAATGTAATTTCTATTAATAAAAGACTCCAATACCAGCAATAGTTGTTTAGTTAATATTCAATTACTCTTTTTTAATTCATTTACTTTATTTCAATTATTTTACTTAATCAGCCTGTATGTTATTTTAAGAATTAT